AGCAGCAGTCCCCAGAATGGTCGGAGCGACCCCCGGCACAAGAAGGCAGCTCACCAGGCAAGCGCTTCTCTGAGGCAAGTGGTGGACTGCACTGCCCAGTACAGGCCACGTAGAGGGTGACAGAGAAGAAAACAACGCAAGGGAAAGGTAGAAGAAGGGAGGCAGTGTTTAAATAGCAATAGCCCCTTCTTCTCAAATGTGTTCTTTCTTCAAAAGATAATGGAATGGGGAGGCCGGGTGGCTCAGTTGTTAGAGCGGGTGCTCTTAACAACAAGGTTGCCAATTCGATTCCCGCATGCACCCCTCTCCCCCCCAAAATCTAGATTGAAAACAGTGACTGAACTTGGAGCTGAGCTGTGCCCTCCACAACTAGATTGAAGGATAACGACTTGACTTGGAGCTGATGGTCCTGGGAAAACACACTGTTACCCAATAAAAATTTAAAAAATAAAAATAAAAAATGCTGCTTCTAAAAAGTATATGATTACATGAAGAATAATAAAATTTAAAAAAAAAAAAGATAATGGAATGAGGTGAATTTCTTTTAAGAGCCTCCAAGTTCCTAAAGAGAGTCTCTGAATGGAGAATAAAGGGAAATTACAGCAAAAACAAAGAGAGCTTCTCCTGGTCTCCCATGTCCTGAAACACCAGGCTGGAGGCACAGAGGACCAAATGACCACATAAGTTCCTCTCACTGTAATTCTGGTTCCAAGAACATGGGAGCGCGGCAGAAGGGGTGACGTGGGCCCTGAAGAACTCCAGATGGTATCCACATGGAGCTGGGGGCCTGGCCATTCTGCAGGAAACCATCACTAACAGTTCAGCTTTGGGAGTAGTGAGGCTCCGAAAGGTGAGCTACGGAGAAAAGGGTAGGGCAAGAAAAAACAGAGGCCCGAAAAAGATCAGGCCATTATTATTGGGTAAGAACTACAAACTAACTCCAAAATCCTTTATGGTTAAATACTAAGAATTTGTGTCTGTACTTGCACTATAGAGAGCAGTAAACATGGAGGCAAAGTCATTTTGGGACAAATGAGTCACAGTAAGGTTGCACAACAGTGACATCGCCATTTGATTTATATACGGCATTTGCACCACTTAAAATGTTTGACCGGGGTCAGGCTGGCTCCGGGCAGACCGGCATTCAGCGGGTGCAGTACCACGTCCTGACACAAGGTGGAGCCAGTGCCATTGAGCTGGTTGGGAAACTTAGGTTTAAGGTCAGTCTAAAGTCAAAAACATCAAAAAGTGAAGACTTGGTTGGAGGCAATTGATGCAATTCTAAGGGAGAAAAGACCAGGCAAAATATTTTACCTTCTCTATGGAATAGCTGATATTCAGCTAAGTATGGGCGCATGTTAAATGTAAGTCAAAAATTTCTAAGAAAGAACAAAGCTGGATTTGAAATTATTTTCATTTATTTAATAAATATTTATTGAACACTACTATGTGCCAGGTGCCATTTACAGCACAGCAAACAACAGAGTCAAAACCTAGCCCTTGGGGAAGACATTTTTCACAGATTAACCTCATTTTAGCAAAGGCATAAAATAAAGCTGAAATAATGGCTACATCTCCTTATTCACAGAAATATTGTACTTTGTTTAAAAAAAAAAAGGCTTTTTCCAAAGATCTCTCTAATCAAGTGAAGGTCAGTTTTCCACTGCTAAAATACGCCTTCTGAAAACCTTCTGGTTCTAACTTGTTACAGCATTATTTGTCCTGTATACTACAGCTTGCAGCCCCCAAATGAAGAACGCTAGATCCCGTGTGTATCACAGGAAAAGAGCTCTACAAAATATTAAACACTACA